AAACATCTGACGCGTCTGCGCAGTTCTGCACTTAAAGGCTCCAAAAGACACCAAAATCACCATATTTCACCAGGACGTACCTGAACCTGTAAATACTCTAAATAGACTCTATATTTTAGTAAATATTCATGAAAACATATCAATACCATGACCAAAAGTGGGTCAAAATCATGGTATATCAACTCCCCCAACTTACCCTTTTGCTTGTCCTCAAGCAAAACATACAGGCAGTCTCTCTGAAAGAGGTTTGAAATAGCAGGGACACAAAAGATTTTAAAACTCAGTCACCATCTCTCTAGTAGTGCAAACCAAATCATAAACATCCTAACCTTAGAAGCATATTATACAATATCCTAGTATAGCAATCAAATTCACCTAGTCAACAACTCAACAGATCATGTCTGACAATCCCCTCTACTAACCTCATTTCTAGCATAAAATAAAAGTGCAGGCTTTACCTTGGGAATATCGATCAAGGAACACTTGGATTCAACTCAAGCAAGTTTCTGAGTAAATAGGCAGTCAGCAGTCTTATTCTGGTTTCTTTTCTCCCTATATCTCCCTTCTCCGAATCCCAAATTTTTTTTATATCAATCCCAATGAACAACTGATGTTCATCTATATTGTAGTAAATATTCGTGAAAACATATCAATACCATGACCAAAAGTGGGTCAAAATCATGGTATATCACTCATGAGTCATGATACTATGATAGCTATTTCTTAATATTTGAACCATTTAAATCAAGGGGAAATTCCTTAAAAATACACAAATTGATTTACATTTGCTAATAAAATACACAAACTATTTTGGATTCCCGTTTAATACATTAACAAATTTTCGCTACCAATTAAATACACAAACTTTTGAAATTCGAAGATTTTACACATCGTTTTTAACGGCGTTAACTATATTTAATGGATCTATCAACATCGTTAGTGCTTAATTAAACACATGTTTAAATTATGAAAATAAAATTCCTTAAAAATACACGAACTAACTTTATTTTTTAATAAAATATATGAACTATTTTAGATCTTCGTTTAATACACCGACTAATTTATGTTTTCAATTAAATACACCAATTTTTGAAATTTACATTGTACACATCGATTTAGTAGACGCCAGCTATGTTTAGCATGATTTAGACGATGTCAACTATGTTTAACAAAAGTGAAGAAGATGTTAGTGGTTAATTAAATATGTGATTAAGATGTGAAGAAAAAGTTTCTTAAAAATCATCCAGCTAGATTATATTGTTAGTTTTCTTCTCTATTACGCTTTCATAGTGTAGATTTTTTTAAACGGAATTTCAAATTTATTGATCATAGTAGAAATAATATATGTACAGCCTAATTTATAATACAAAACTTATGATCATAGTGTAAGTTAACATTGTCTAAATCATTATCACTACAATTAAAGCAAAGAATAAGAATAAGAAATACATAATAAAAACTAATTCCAAACTCAGAAACTCGTTTAAAATTACCTAATCTTCTTCGTCATTATTCACGACATAAAAATTGACTCCAATTCGAATCGATATAAAAGGAAATCAAAGCGAAAAAATAAGAAAATGGACATAATTTGGAGAATAAAAGAGATTGCAACAGATTACGGTGTTAAATTCGAATTGATACTAACTTGAGAAGTTTTGGAGGGTGAGCGTGTTTTTCACTTTTTTACCACATGTTTAATTAAAACTAACATCATCAACAGTCTTAAATCGATGTGTAAACTGCAAATTGCATAAGTTGGTGTATTTAATTGAAAATATAAATTAGTCTGTGTATTAAATGTGAATCTAAAATAGTTCGTGTATTTTATTAACAAATGCAAATTAGTTAGTGTATTTTTAAGGAAATTTATTTTCATAATTTAAACATGTGACATGTGTTTAATTAAAAACTAACGGTGTCTACAAATCCGTTAAATAAAGTAACGCCATTAAAAATGATATGTAAAATCTTCGAAATTCAAAAGTTTGTGTATTTAATAGATAACGGAAATTAGTTCGTGTATTAAACGGGGATCCAAAATAGTTCATGTATTTTATTAGCAAATGTAAATCGGTTCGTGTATTTTTAAGGAATTTTTCCTTAAATCAATTATAGATTTGTACATTATTTTTAGAGTTTAGATCTGTCCATTTCAAGACACGGTCTACATTTTGTTGTCGGCATTGATTAATCTTGAATATGGGCTTGGATCATTAGCTTAACAAATCGTGTATCACTATTACAACCCATTTGGATTAAAAATAATTAGAAACCCAATTAAATTCACACCTTTTTTCAATTTTTTTTTTTTAAAACATCAATATTTTGAAGATCATTTGTACATAAATACATGTAAATAAAAATTGATTATATTTTATAGCATAGTCTTTTAATAATAAAACATTTGTCTCAAACTGATTTTTAAAAAAATTTAATATAGATACTATTAATAAATTTTAAAAACATTTTCAATACTCTTTCTATATTTAGGTAATTTGATAGTTAATCTACAAATAAATTAATTTAATAAAATTTGTTATTTAATTATAAATATATGTAATTTTACCTTCAAATAGATTTCAACAAATTACAAATAACGTAATCGCGTGATCATATTTTACGTACAAAAAGTTATTCTTATGTAAGTTAAATAGATATTGATATATCAAAAAAATTAAAACAAAAATCAAATTCATATTCATTTCAATACATTAATAACACTCTTATTGCTTTTAAAGTATTTTTACCATATTCGTTTTATTGTATCTCATCCTTATTATATACTAGATCCTTTTTCCGCGCTACGCGCGGATTACACCTTTTAATTTGTTATTTTTTTGAAATTATTATCTAAGTGTTTAGTTTTAATTTTTATTTAGATGTATTTTATATTTTAAATATTTTTAGTTCTCTCTTATTATATTTGAATATTTAAATTATTTTCTACATTAATGTCTAAATGATATTACTTTTTAATTTTTTGATTAAGGTAACAAAAAATATGTTATTTTAAAATAGTGTTTCATAAATAGTTATTCAGCTAAAGAAGACATTAAGTTAGATTTGTTTTTTCTTTCTTTGTCGTTGAGCTCCATTTGTTTCTTATGTAGAATAATGTCATATTATTTTCTAATTATAATTTAGCAAATGAGTTTTGTAATTTTATATGTCCATCTATTTGTTATATGTCGTAGTAATCGAATGGAAAATCCAAAATATTAGGAAGTAAAAATTTCTTAAATTTTATATATTTAATACTGTCAATTTAAATATTGAATTTCTGGTAGAGAAAATAATTTAAATGTCGTATAACTATACCATTAGAAACTTTTTTTTATATTACTAATCCATAGATAAGCATTATAAAATGATTGTGTGATAAGAATTATAAACTATGTAAGGTGTACAATACTAATGTTTAAAAAAAACTATTCTTTTTAATTAACAATATACATATTTCTAAATTAAAATTGATCATTTAATTGATGTATAGTTTATTTATATTATAGCTATGTAATCACAATATAATTTATTCTTTTAAAATATTGGTTGCGTGCTTAGTCTCTAAATATCTCCTATACACAATTTGAAAGTGATTTTGGCACATGTCTTATTTACAATCTTTTTCACAAAAATAATATGATTTGATTACTAAAACTGATGACATGGCTTATAGCTTAATATGACATGGACAATTATATTTAATTTTAATTTATATTTTTGGTAAACGTTTTAAAATATGATAAGAACTATATATTATATTTAGTCTCGATTCATATTTTTGAATTTTTTTAGAATATGATAAGAATTCATATATATATATATATATATATATATTCAAATATGACATTACAAATATGACAATAACTCATATATTATATTTAGTGTTGATTTATATTTTTGAAAAGTTTTTACAGTATGGTAATAACTCATAAATATAATTAAAATAAATATATTCAGATATGGCTTACAAATTTCGAAATATCATTTAATTATCTATAGTTAAATTATACAATGTTATTGCTAAAATTTTCAAAAATGTATACAATTTTTTAGAAAGCTATAAAAATTTGATTGTAAAATCATCAGTTTCTAATATATCTACAAATTTTATCATTTTTTTAATTTAATTTTTTAATAATTTTATTTTTTAAAATTTATTTAATATATTTTCTAACAATAAATAGATAGAAAAATCTATCTAAGATTAGTATTTTAACATATTCTTAAAAAAAAATTAAAATAAACAAAATTGTCTTTATCTTAATTTTTATGTTTAATTAAATCAAATTTATATTAAAATATTGATAAAAAAAGAAAATTTAGAATTTTAATAAAATTTTATTTTTAAACTTTTTTCTGCACATGGTGTAAAAAACGTCTAGTTTTATAATATTTTTTTTTAAAAAGTCGCACTTACTTTAATCCTCATATTCATAGATAATCTATAATTTGAAGTTGTCATTTTTATGTTCTTACATCAAACAAATTCCAATGGTACATCCATCCCTTTATCTTATGAGCTCCACATGCATGAGCTTTAAAGAGAAACTTTTGTTATTGTAAAGAGTTGGTCACATTAATATTCAACGTTCTCTTACAACATGATTCATTGACGATCAAATAGCTACAAACTTCCGGCTTAAAAGAAAATGCATTGGTGTTTGATTATCACTATTTACTCTACATTGACCTTACATGAAGATTAAATGCCTACCAAAGAGTAAAGACTCAAATATATCCATAGTTTTGTTACTTGACTGTGTCTGATCTTCTTTGTTCAATTCTGTTCAGGCAATAGTTGAAGTTGGAGAAGTGTTGCAGTTCTACAACACTGACAAACGCTTTCCAGCATGGGGTTTTAGTGCTCAACCTATAGATATCCCAGTTTCACATTGCTTTAACCTCAATGGAAGCAGTACTTACTGTGAGGTCTGTCAACAAAATCTGTACCATCATGTTCAGTCAACAACATGAAACTAACTTATGCTCGATAGAATGCTGAACCAATGCTCGATAGAATATACATAAATATATGTATTACTACTAATATCTACAACTTATATGTATTACTACTAATAATGAGAAGCAATGCTGAACCAATGCTCGATAGAATATACATAAATATATGTATTACTACTAATATCTACAACTTATATGTATTACTACTAATAATGAGAAGCAATGCTGAACCAATGCTCGATAGAATATACACAAATATATGCATTACTACTAATCTACAACTTATCAGCGATTTTGTCAACAGCATCAGCGAGCTTGTTAAGAACAACGACTAAGTTATCGCCATGATCTTTTCTTTGCTCTCTGTCTAGCTTTAAGTTCGTATTCTGAACTTCAAGCTGCGCGGCCAGTAACTGCCCGTTTCTTTCTAGTATCTCTATCAACTGGTCATGCCTGCTCTTTGTCGCCTCTCCTTCCTCTTCTTCTCCACTATCAGATGTTCGTTTACACTTTCTTCTTGAGATGGTGATCCAGCTTCCGGGTTTGCTGCTTCTGGATTTCTCTCTTTCATTCCACCTACAATTCCAAAATCATTATTTTCGTTAGTAAAACAAAATAGTGTAGAGACTTCAACGTAAACCAAAATATCATAGTTGATATACGTAGGTAACACAGCTAAGCTAATTCATTTTAGAACATGAAACTATTCTCCTACATAAGTACATAGTCAAGAAAACCTCTAGAGCTCTTCTTTTTTTTTACACTCTAGAGCTCATAAACTTGTTTAGACTATGTAATATAGATCATAGCAAGAATGGAGATGAGAAACACATAGAGGTAAAAAATTTATTAGTCTTCCAAATCAAACACCTTTCTATAGTATTCTTTGCAAAGCACTAAAGACCCTATAGAAGCTCCCAAGGTCACAGGTTTAAATCCCAGCACGAGCGATCTAATACTTGCTAGTAGCTAGAATATAAAAAATGACAAAACACAAACCTTGATCTGCTGCTTCACAAGCTGCTTGCTTCTCCTTGTCTATAACATCTATAAAAAATGAATTTCATTACAACTGACGACAACACGAAGATGAACATATAACATATATATTAAAAAACAAACTGAACATAAAAAGTTTTGGTTTTGATCTTTTACCCTGAAGTGACTTAGGCACCGGAACCTGGTGAATCAGATCCCCTATTCCTCCCGAATCTCCCTCAGTGTCTTCCTCCCCTGCATAGACCAAAACCGAACCAAACCGAAGTTATAAATCAAATGACAACAACTTAAAGAAGCCAAGCCAAAACCAAACTTTAGCACAACAGCTTGGACCTAAAGTCTTGACAAAACCAAACCAGTAACACATATACTCACCTTCCTCCACGGCCACCTTCACCCTCATGACCTGCACCAACGTAACGTTACTCTCTGTTACTAAACCTATAAACCTAAACCCTAAGTACCAAGAGTATGAGCTAAACAAGTAATTACCATGGAGCTTGTCTTCGGATGAATCTCCGTCTCCACCTTCGTCTCTCTCTGTGAAACATCATTTTCTAGTCTAACAAAACAACATGATCTGTTTTAGTACTGAAATAAGCAAAATAGACGGTCACAGTTATTCCTAGTTGGTGGGAACAAAATTACATATTTAAGAAGATTCACCTAACCTGTTCATCGATGAGAAGCATCTCAAGGCCGATAAACGTCTTCTTAATCGGGTTCCAAGCCTCCCAGAAGTGGATCAGACGGAAGCGCAACTGAGTTTCGTGGGGACCCAGAGAGACATCTCTGAAGAACATCACTTTTTCATCAGAGGCGGATGAGACAGGAGACTTTCCGTTCGGTTTCGTCGCCATGGTTGAGGTTTGAGGAATTCCTAGGGTTTGGGTTTGTACAAAGATAAGAGGATGAGTATATAAAGAAGGAGGAACAGAGGGAGCTGAACGAAATCATAAAGACGAAAGTGATGGATCGAAGTTAGGTATGGATTGATTGTGGAGAAGTGGCTCGGTTTTCTGGGATCGAAGGGAGAAGACGAAGTGGTAGATGAGATGTTTCATCCGTTGTCGGCGACACAGATTAAGGCAAACATCAAATAAACCATGAAGGCCCCAAACCTTTATGATGTGTACAAATAAAATGTTTTGATTGGTTGAATATTTTTTCTGACGTGGACACTCTCTTCTTTGAGTATATCCACCTTTTAATAGTAGTTGATGAGTAAATGAATATATCAGTTCGACCACAAATCTGACCCGGATATGAAAATTCAATGAAAATATTGTACCAAATTGAAACACTACTAACAGAAAAGCTTTTAAATATTATAGATAGAGAATAATAGTTATAAATTTATTTAACCATATCTCTTTACAGTCAATAAAAAAATTAACCAGATCAAAATCTAGTTTATAATTAAAACCTTTCTCTCTCGACCTTATAAACTGAATCTGATAATGCTCCGGCGTCCGGCCACGCGTGAGCGTGCGTGACGGCGCCGAAGGCACTCCCGTCGTTTAAGCTCCGTTTCTGTTTGCTGCTTCATCGTTCTCTGAGCTCTCTTCCGGTATGCGCGTGGATCTGGACTAGGGTGCTGTTTCGGGATGTGTCCGCTCGCCATGGGTTACAGCTCCAACGGCGGCGCTGCTTCATCTGGTTTCACGGCGAGGATGTGGAGCGATGGTTCACGGTGGCAGTCGGCTTTTTGGGGTCATGGAGGTGATCGTTTTCAATCTAGATCTCTCTGGGTTCATTGCAAGTGCGGAGGTGATGCGGTCTTTGCCGCTTCCGGTGAGTGGTTCTGGTGTGTCTAGAGTGGGTAGGCTTGGGTCCAGTATTAGCGTGTGTTGTGGAGTAGTATCTCCTTTGTGCTGCTCTTTTCAATGGTTCTTTGTCGCTATGTTTGGAGTTTGGCGCTTGGTTTAGCAGATTTGATTATAGAGTTTATGGGTGCAGTGATTGCTTGCCATATGGTTTGTTTCCCGGAAATGTCTCCGGACTGTTTCGAATGGCAAGGCTTCGTCTTTGTGGGGTTTGGTTGGACTTCTATCTAGGGTTAAGTGGACGTTTATGAGTACGTCGTATCCGTATTCGAAAGGTGTGTTGATCGAGTGACGGTCCCTCTTGTCGGGTTATGAAGTTTCAGGTTCTTGGTTATTAAACGTTACGTTTGGCGGGCTTAGGCAGCAGCGGTAAGTTGTGATGTAGTTATAAGAAGTGGAGGTTATCGTGTGGCGGGCTACAGGCAGCTACGATATTTCCCCGATCATTGGCCTTTGCTTAATTCTAAAATCTGTTAAATTATTTTGTTTATCTCCTGAGTAGTTATCAGTAGTATGTCTGAGTTTAATAGCTGTTTTAGTTTATATCTTTTGTTTCACTAAGTCACCCCAGTGTGGGTTCAAGCTGTCCCGTTGTGGGTTTAAGTTGCCTTTATTTGGGGCTTTAGTTTCTGGAGATTTCATACCAGCTATTTAACAAACTCAAGTATTTTGCTATGAATGAAATTTTTTTAGACGAAAAAAAAAAATTAAAAAAAGATTGGATCATCTTTGCGAGACCGGAGTAGAGGAGACAGCAAGGAGGTCCGGTGGAAAGACAAAACAAAACTCGGCTTAAGAGAGACCCGATTACGTTTTGATGCATGGGTTCTTTATACATGTGATTTTGAACACCAAAAATAATCATGTGATTGTGTAGTTTGCTTATACAAAGGGATAGACATATTTGAAAATGGCGGGACAGAAGCAAGCCATGGTAGAAGCTGAAACAGAGACTGCGGAGTACAAAACCAGTACTGAGCATGGATTCGAGAAGAAACTGGAAGAGGTCAGATCACATTAAAAAACACTTGTGCTTAAGCCATTATAAATGTGTTTGTTCTTTTTTAATACCTCATGGTCCCTCATTATTGATGAGAAAACATGACTACAGACACGTGGGTATTCATGTGCAAACGTGAAGAGGTTTAAGCAAGAGAGTGGTGCCAAGATCGAGCAATTGAAGAACAAAGCTTCGAGGATATCTAAAGTGATATTTCGCAAGCAAACCATCGTCGGTTAAATGGTGTAAAGTGTTATTTTGAGTGGATTCGTTTCGATTCTTTTGTTGTCTTGTGGATTCCCGGTTTCAGTTGTTGTTGTTTTAAAATCAAACTAGATTTCAACCCGCGCAACTCACGGATATTTGTTTTCATTTATTTATATAAATATTTTGTTTTTACTTCTAAACTAGGTGTTTTGTCCGCACATGCGAACTTAATTTTCTTACGAATATTATTATTTTTTGTTTTATTAATTCTAAAATAATATTATAAGTTATTTTTATAGTTTTAAAAAATCTAAATCAAAGATTAATTTATATGAATATATATATTTAGATTATGGATAATTCTTATTATTATTATTATTAATTTAAATCATTTTTCTAATCAAATAAGTTTAATTATCTTTAAATCAATTTAAAAAAACATCAAAATAAATAATTATTTGCATCCAAAAAATTTGACCTAAAACATTAAACTTTTTTACATGATAAAGTTATTTACAAACTAAATTTTCATTTCTTCTTAATTGATAAAAAAAATTTGAAAAATTGATTCGATGAATTTACATTCAAAAATTGATCTTATAGAAAGAATAACATTAGTTTAGATAATAATACAATATATTTGAATTTATTTTTGTCAAACACGTATTTTCTTAAGGTTTAACTATATAAAATATAAATATAAATTTAATTGAACATGTGCGTTCAGAGACGAAAAATAATTTCACAGATATATATCATTATATTATATTCTTTTAATTTGAAAATAATTACGTATTATAAATTTTCAATTTTCTTTTTTGAATTATATACAATTAAAAATTTTACTTTATGAATATTTATTTATGTGTTTTTAGTTTTTGAATTTTTTAATTAAAATGTATTTTCCGGATAACAACACAATATCTATATAGGAATTATCTTTTTATTTTTAAATATATATTTTGATTATGGATAATTCTTATCATTATTATTAATTTAAATCATTTATCTAATCAAATAAGTATTAATTTCGTTTTTCTTTTTGGCTGATTCATATATTTTATTCATTAAGGGTATAATCGATATTAACCACTCCAACTTTTAACGTGAAAGCTCCGTTGCGAAAAATCACTTCGCAAATAATAGTATAGATTGGTATATATTATATAAAGTGTGTATATCGAAAATGATATATTATATAAGGTGTGTATATCAAAAATAATGATTAATAATTATATAGTATAGATTAATTATTGTTAGAAAATAATATTTTTGTCATTTTTAAAAATAAACTATATAATTTTTAAAGTTAACAATGAAAATATATAACTAATTAACTTATACTATTACAATATTAAATTATATAAGTTTAATTTAAACATGTATTTTATTATAATATCTATAAATTCAATGGATCATCTAATTTAGCCCAATAAAAATTTATAGTAAGCCTAATAAATATTATTAGTGAATCTAATGAATGTTATTAATGATTAAATATATAATGTGACAAATTCTAATAGATAGTCCATTTTATAAAAAAAATCACACATGAATGAGAAGTTATGACTTCTCTTTTAATATAATAGATATTTTGTTCTTTTTTTTATCTGGTTAAGGAGGCTTAAAATGGTTTGGTTAACACTAAACCAATTAAAACCTCCTACAAAATGGTCGATGGGGCTCTAATTGAAGTCTTGTAAGCACTAAACAGCAAATATTTGATCATCAACCTTCAGATTTTGCCACCAGAATCCACACCATAATACATTAATATTCAAAGTTTATGTGCCAACACTCTTTCTCGTTACTACTTATCCTACCAAAACCCATTCTAAAGCAAACCTATGATGACATGAAAAATCTAAGTTAAAGGGTATACCCTTTTTACTTTGGATTTTCATTTTACATTTATTTAGAATGCCAACTTAGGATCCACAACACCAGAAGCACTGCCTTCACCAGTTAAGAGCTGTTCAGGATCCTGAGAAAGACACACAGAGTAGACAATTATCGTTTAGTGTTCCTCCATAACTGTGACCATAGACGCGAAAAGCTTAGTTTACATTACCTCCATTCCCCATTTGATGTAATCTGGAGATTCACATGCCTTGTATTCATCTACCAAACTCTCGATGATGTCCCTTGCTTCATCAAACTCTGAAAGATCATTGTCCTGTCCACATATACATTCTCATGATTAATAGTCACTAAACATAAACCGAAGCAAACGCAGGACATCTAAGCAGTCAACTTACTGCAAACATGGGAAACTTTCGGTAATTGTCGAGAAAAGCTTGCTTCTTCCTCAATTTCTCATATTGGCTCAAACATTTGCTGAAAAGGTGCCTGATACTCGTGTGGCTTGCTAACATTAGACCACTCACCTGAAATAATCAGATACACCACTAGAGTAAGACTCTTCGTCGGATCTTTCTTACTAGCAGGGCCTAGGAGATATATATATATATATATAGAGCAAAAAAATTAAGATTACCCTATGGGCAGTTTGAACATATGGGGACTTCTTGGAAAGTGCAACCTGTCGAGAATAAGATATGGAATACCATTGTGATGCAAGTCCATGGTCAAGTCAGAAGCAATTACTGTCTGCAGACAAAGTTTGGTTAGAACCTGTATGCTTGCAGGTCCCCATTCAATGAAGTTAACAAGCTTCCTTTCTCGAATCCTCTGCAAACTTTCATGCACCTAGTATCAAGTAGTGGAACAAACACAGCAGATCACATCAACAAGACAGATTTAAACAACTCATCTTCAATACAATGACAAGAAAATTGCAAGGAGCCACATAAATTGTACCTGAGTGGGATCGACCTCTCCTTGAATAATGTTCAGTATTGATATGTACTTAGCCTGACTAGCTTCTTTGTTTCTAGCATAAGACGACACCATGACATTCTTTGTCTGCGAATACAATCATGTTGGAAGAACATACGACTCAAGTTTCAAGAAAGGGATGGAAAAAGTAAATAGCTCACCTGTAAAAGCCTTCTCATAACATCCAGCACGGTAGTTTTACGAATAACATTTGCCTGCCAAAAAAATAAGAGAGCATGAAACCAATAAAATCGGAACATAGCATACAAATATGGCTTTATAAAAATGCAATGCATCAAATATAGAGTCAATGTTCAGGATACAGTGTTCGCCTCCCCACATACCTGGCGCTCAACAGTCAACGGAGTATATCCTGTCATGAGGAAGTGACACCTTGGTGTTGGGATCAAAGATGCAAGCAAGCCAACCAAGTCATTATTCATGTATCCTGGATAACGCAATGTTGTTGTGCTAGCAGACATAACAGTTGACACTAGCGAATTCGTTTCAGCAAAGGTAGGATTTGTTAGATGCAGGCGCTCCACAGCAATTCTATTCAATGCAGTGTTGTCAAGGACAACAACACAATCAGCATTTAAGGTAAGCCGCTTCAGTGTCAAGAGCGAGTTGTAGGGCTGGACAACTACATCACTTGTTTCCATCTGATTGGGGAAGACACTGTATGTCTGAACCAGCTTCTTGCTATAGCGATCATTCAAAGCCTCCAACAAATAAGAGCCCATACCTTCATGCAGGGGAAAAAGTGATTCAAGATCACAAGAAAAACAGTGAATAAAGCCTGACACCGTTAACTCAGAAAAACGCCTATATGCCAAGTACCACAACAAAACTTATTATTTAGCAAAAGCATTGCAGACAAAACACTATGGAGGAAGGTCTTAAGGCTAAAATAATGTAGAGGTCGCGATAGATGATTAATAAGTCAACACTTCAGTGAACAAGGAAAAAAAAAAGTCACTCACACACACTAGAAGCAGCAGTGAATAAAGCCTGAGAACGATAACTAAGAAATGCCTAGTACCACAACATAACTTATCATTCAGCAAATGCATTGCAGACAAAACAACCATGAATAAAGTTCCTTAAGGCTAAATAATGTAAAGGTGCTGCGATAGATGATTAATAAGTGAAAACTTCATGCGAACAAAGAGAAAAAAAAAACCATTCACAATAGAAGAAGCAGTGAAAAGCCTGAAGAACCTTAAACTCAGAACAATGTCTATTGCCTACAAGTCAAGTCCCATAACATTAAGCTCATAGAGGTGATGAAAACCTGAGCCAGTTCCACCAGCAATGGAGTGGCAGAGAACAAAACCCTCAAGACTATCACTTCCATCAGCTTCTCGATCAATCATATCCATAATCTCCTCTTCAACACCTTTCCCCTGTCCAAATATAGCAAGTGAACAAAATATGGACCACCTAACAAAGTTCCATTTTTTTTCACAAAACCTGGTGATATCCACTGGCCCAGTTATTGCCAGCACCACCACCATGATCCGCAACAAAGATGTTCTCATGATTGTAAAGATTCCGATACTCCCCGTTTTGAATGCCATTGATAACTCTGGGCTCCAAGTCAATCAGCAGAGCTCGTGGGATATAGTTTTGGTCATCCGCTTGGTAAAAGAAGACATCTTTTCGATCACCTCCCTAATAATATTCGATTTGATCAATTAGATAAAAAAAAAAAAATTGAAAAATCACGAAACGACGTCGAATTACAAAATGAGAGACCTGAGTAGCGAAGTCTTCGAGGATACCGTCTTTGCTGATGCCGTGCTCGAGGCAGAGCTGTTTCCAGAACTCCATCCCGATCTGGTTCCCGCATTGTCCCACCTGCAGCGTTATTATCTCCCGAGGCATCTCAACTAGGGTTTTCAGAGACTGTGAAGAAGAAGATGATGATGGAAATGATTATAATTAGCACTGGCGCGTTTGCCTTTTTTAAAGTCGAGTGGAATTAATTATAGAGATGCGATAATTAGTTTAAAGAAAAGAAATAAGATTTTATTGAGAAGCTGATGTGGCTCGGTTAAGGAGCGAAAGATGTCTGCTTGTTTAAGTCATGTTGGATCTACAGTACTGTTGGCTCGTTTGTGTATTTTTCTTGGCCCATTATGCCTCGGAAGAGAAAGGGATTAAGAGCATGATTAACTCAGGTTTTTTAACCA